AAGAAAATATTTATCAAAATTAGCGCGGGAAAAACTAAAAAAAAACAAATCTCAAAGCAATTTGAAATTACGTAACTGTTTATAACTTGTATGAGAAATTCAATGGTGGTCGGCCATATAAGAACAATTATTACATTGATTCCTGTCTCATAAGTTGTAATTGTGAATTCTGTTTGTGCGTTGTCATGGTGACGGGCCATTTGATCATATTGTAATCTAAGATGAAATGGTCGAATACTTATAGATATCAATGACGCCATTTTTGCATACTATAGATACTTGATTGAAGTAGATATATTATTTTGTTGAGATGAGGTTGGATTTTTTTAATAAATCTGCTATCGTTAGATAAAGGTACCTAAGTTAGGTTATATTGTCTGTTATAAAAAAAACTTAAATATGCACAATAGATTTGGCAAACTGGTCTATAAAGTAATTTTTTTAGCATCATGATTAAAAATTGATAAAAATTTAATTAAAATTGACTAAAAAGTCATCACATATTTACTACCAAGAAATTTCTACAACAAAAGCTTTACGAAAAAAGATAGACATATCAAATGAATCGATAATATTCCCAATCGATATTTTATTTAAATATCTTATTGATTACTAGGTGTTAAATCCCAAGCGTATCGATTTAGATTTATTTAATCAAACAAGCAATAAATTATCGACTCAATTTTATTAATAAAACCTCGATCGATACGCTGTCACGAAAAATAAATTAAAAAAATAAATGCTGCACGGTACAACATAATACTGGCGTTCTTTTTTTAAATAGTTTTTTTGATATATACGTATACTTACTAACTGTTTTATAACTATATGAAATAAATGATAACTTAAACGTAATAAAATGTAATTTATTGACCTGCGACCGAAATTCGATTAATAATATTCGCGAAAAATCACCGTAGGTATTTACCGCATGTTTATTTTAGGTAACCGTAGCATATGAACAGAGGTAATATATTATGAATTGAACTTGCAAAACATATTTTTTTCATTTATCGTAAAATGTGTTTATCTCTTCAATTGGCTACTTGCCTACTTACTCATGTTAGTCAATGTTCATCCGTCACGAATAGAAATCCAAAAAAAAACATTGTGACTAAAAATATTGAATACTTAACGGATTTTGACGTTTATGGTAATTTTTTTCATATAAATTACCTTCGTTTGTTTTCTGCGAAAAATTGAATAAATTGATAAGCTTGTTAAGCGTTGGTTAGTCTGTAATAATGTCGTATCTCATAACTAGCTGTTTTTCCTGTTGTAAGTAAATAATGATTAAGCCAAGTCATGTAATAAAAACTGTTCATTCAGTTCTGAGCGTAAATTATAATTAAAAGTTATATTATACCTACTAAATGCATATATTAAATACACAGAACAACACAACGTCGCTGTTGTCCGACACAGATACATTTCGCAAAATCAATACATTAAATAATTAAGTATCAAACATATTTCACAGTATTTTATTAATAACTAAAATCAAATGATTTCTTAAAACAAGATTATTTTGTCAAATTCGATTTTATCGTAAGTCAAAGCAATAAATAAATGGACAGTATGACTCATACCAATACTATCCAAATTAAATATTTTCTTATGATTCTAAGCAACTAATAACTTTTCAAGCGAGCTACTTCAAAATTAATCAATAACTCATTGATTATTTCAATTTAAAAATGGAACCTGAATCCACTTGCACGATTAAAATTAAAAAATCAATCTGCGATAATCCAACTACGTTGCAAAGTTAGTTCGTGCAACTATTACCCGACCGAGTTGAGTTGGGCTCATGGACGGAGAAAGTTAGCCGCCGTGGATAAAACTACATTTATTGGTGTTGCATATTCAACGTACCCCCGGGCGTAATACCACACCAGTGGTACAAGATCCCTCATGGAACATACAAACCCTTTACTCTTAGCACTTATTCATACCTTCAGGGAAGTATAAAAGCTCAAGTTACATTGGTCTTTCAGTACTTACTTGTAACTAGTTTTATATTTAGTTTAGTGTAGTGACAGTGTTGTGTTAGGTGTCGTTCTTATATCTGTTATGCTATATCGTGATAATGATCGGGAAATGTATGAGTTACTGGAGAAATCTCGTGTGTAAAAATATAAGATCTGGTTTCAAATCACAATTAATTTGAGTTTTAAGGCTATCAAATCTATAAGCATGAAAAAATCCTTCACAATTGAGCCTTAAAACCTATTTTAATTATTTCAAAAATATACCTTTTCAATCCAAAAATACTTATGAGCACCAACTCAAATAACTAAGTTGTAACAAGTACCTACCATAGAAAACCAAATTAATAAAATTAAAAAACATAGAATGTAATTCGAAATTCAAATTCGAAATTCGTAAATCGAACATTCGGGCAAGCGTTCCAATGCTACTGTCATTTGACAATAGTGACGTGCAGTGTTCACATCTCGGATATATCCGAACTTATACGAATATCCTTCAATCACAATTCACAACCCGTCTGCTAACTTTACGCATTCAAATGTTTACTACCGTTGCCTCAACTACATTGCAAGTTGCAAACGACCACTAAAACTGTGATACACCACTAAATTATAATCATTACTGAAGTAATAAAGTCCAATTTTAATTGTGCTTCTCCGCATAGTAAGTACGTAATTGAAATCGACATTTTGATTGTTTCTTGAGTTAGTGTTGACAATAAAAATATTGAAGTTTAGTATTAAAATAGTACACTAACAATATTGTTGCTGTTTTTGTTGTAATAGGACATAAATATTATCGAATAGGTTAGCTACCAATCGAATACAAAACAAAAGTTTAAACAGAGCGTTTATTTTTTTTATATAAATAAGCCCCAAATTTAGACACTCACATCAATTTATTTAATTTCAAACTCAAAACACACGTACATTAAAACACATTTTCCTAGCACACCTATTCCTATTGCACAATATGTAGCAAAAGTGTCGCCAACACGTCGGCAAGTCGGAAGCGTCTCGTCACGCGCTCGTGAGATTATCGAACAACGAGACGACGACGAGAACGAGACGAGTTTTGTGCGAACAATCGTAGGGGACGTGCTAGTGTTGGCGAAACAAAATACCGTAAAGTTGAGGAACTGAATAACTGTATCTACTTATTTGTAACTAGGTATACGTACGCCTTTATTAGACTTTAATTTTAATATGAGATGTAAAATAACTAGTTTACGAGTATTACCTATTATTGATTGTTACCTATACTTTAACTTGGGTACCTAGTGCATAATAGGTATAGATATTCGGTTTGGAAATAAAACCGACTTTCATTCTTGTTGACTAAAACTTAGGATTTATAAAATTAAAAAAAGCTTAATATTACGAGAAATTAAAAAAAGCTTAATATTACGAGACCGGTGTCAAATTAACGGTACGTTTAAAAAATGGCGCCCGAGTGAAATGTGATCTCGTATAATTGAGTTTATTAATAAATACAAGCTTATTAATTATACGAAACATCTTGTTTTACGAATTTGTTTACATCTTATTTGCGGCTTTAATTATGATGTTTGAACGTCATTGAGCCATCGATATTCTGATTTAGTAGGAGGCATAAATATATTAACACATAATTTTTACCCGTGTCAGCATATTTTATACTTTTTAAAAGTATTAAAAAAGTGTAAACAAAATCGTATTACAATAAAAATAATCAGATAAAGATAATTAAATCTCGAAAGTGTGTAATAAAAATGACATAAAACTTATTATTCCACATTGAAACCTACAAATTCAACTTCAAAATTATCTACGCAAATTAAAAAGAAATTAAAATTCGTCATAACAACCGCTAAATAACCGCATTACGCGTCGGTACAACCCTAAAACTTTAACGTCGTATAAAATTATACAAGTAGGCATTAAAATTTGTCAAAGACTTTTAATATGTAGTAAAACTGGAAATTTCGAACTCCACCATCGTAAGCCTGGGAAAGCGAAAGTTTATTGCCTATTTGTATATTAATTTCTAGCTAAGTTACTGCACAGTACTTGTTTAATAATACGTACTAGGGTTTTACAATGAGTATAATTTAAGTTAAGCGTGTAGTATCAATTTCTTCGATATTCGAGTAAAAGATTTTACTATATTCATAAAAAAATAAGGTTATATTAATCTGAACTATTAATACTGCGATGAAAAAAATATATATCTTAAATTAGTCGGATAAATCCGCTTTCGGATATTGCGATAAAAATTGTGATTGCACAACATTACGAAATTTGAAACACATTCCAAAGTAGACATTTCTTAATAAACTTCCTCATTACAATATGATTAGTATAGTGTATCAAAAATCGAGACACATAAATCAAAGCAAAGCATGAATTGTAATTTCGGTAGTCGACTAATCCCCAAAACGATGTATTGACTTCATAAATCTGTTGCCAACTGACTATAAACAGCATAGAAACTGATTTATAATTCTTCTTCCCAATAAATATCTGTTAATTACAAACATTTTTGCCAAAATCAACATATTTATAAAACATCGTTAATCCAAATTTATCATCGTGGGCTTAATTAAATTAATAAAAAGGGTCAAAGACATAAAATGAAAATAAAACGAAAGTATTTAGTAATATATTACGCGCGTGTATTCATAATAAAAGTAGTTATATCTACATGGAAATAAATTAAACTTAACTCGTAATGACGTCTCGACGAGATTAAATATCGTCTTGACCGAGCACTACTCCTAGTATATCACATATTTTATACGTAATATTTACAATAACGCGAGACACGTGAAAGAATCTTCGAGAACAATAAGTCGCATACTCCCCGGACGAATGAGTCCGACCGCTTCGGGGAGCGAGAGTTATTATCCCCATGTACAAACATTCTACGAAACGTCAACGGTTAAATACGCGAGCGCCTCCGAACATACGCCAAGCGTTCCGTCTTAATCCAACACCTCAGTTCCGACCCGTAACCGATGCGGCACGGCGTCAACCTCCTTGATCAGTCCTTGGAAGCTTCCCACTCCCTTCCCATAACTTGAAAGGTGATGATGTACTAGCCTCAGGCATTCTAGGACTACTAGTGTAATTAGTTGGTAATCTAGAGGGAGTTGATAGGAAACTACCATACGACAACGAGGAGTTGACACCGAGAGACGTGTCCAAAGTGGAATAGTACCCGGATGAAGCAGCAGATGGCGCTGGAGCTGGCGGCTGCTGTATCTGTACGCGAGCCGCCTCGGCGTACGCGTCCAAGTGTGTCCTGACCAGCACGAGCAACTCTCCGTAGTTGGTGACAGAGCCGCCAGCTCCCGCCACTCTGTAAAGCAACAACCGCGCTTCCCCAAAAAGACTGTCTAAAATTTTACCTGTCGTGAAGAGGACGATGGCCTTCAGACAGGAATACTCCGCCGAGTCGACGTGGAGCGCTTTCAGCTTCTCCACTTGCTCCTGGAAGATCCTGATGTGGTCCATGAAGGCGACGACTCGGTCGGCCGCCATCGGCGACGCGTGGAGTCCCGCGGCCGCCAGTAACGGCGCCACGTGGAGGGGCATGGAGCACTGAGATGCGTTGAGGACGAACAGTTCTGACCAGACGAGTCTTAACAACGCGACCTGGTCGGTCACTTGGAGTTCGGGGAAAAAGGGGATGTTCCGCGCCCATTCTACGGCGGAGAAGAGTAGTCTGGCAGCTAATTCGCAGATATTGTCTATTCCCATCACGTTGGCTGGCTGGACGCACTGCCCGTACCGGGAGGTGGGGTAAGGCTCTGCTCGGAGGAGCAGGGAGATGTAGGAGGAGAGGTAAGGGTGGCTGTTGAGTCCAGCTGAGGGATCGCCGTTGGCCAGCGCGTACTGGCCGGGCAGCGCGAGCCCCGCGGGTTGCGTCGGGGGCACTCGCCCTCGCTGCACAGCTGCAACAAAACAAACAAAACACTGGTTAGGAATGAAACTCCGCGCACTTACAACTATAAATCACCTAAGTCTAGGAAGCATTGGCTAAAGTTCTCACACCATATATTCCATATCGAACGACCACATTTAACTCTCACAAATCTCGATTACACCAAGTTGAACTCTGAGTGCGCACCCAATAACTCTTTAGTTAACATTCCATGTAACACTACCTGTGCCACCTCTACAATAGCCACGGTGTAAATTAATTGGAGCATTATTAATTTAATGTTTGCAATTAGCGCAGGTTATGTCGTAAATACAATAATCCGTACTAAAACAGCGGGCAGTTCTCTTGTCAGGCCCTTTTACGACTGGACCCGGGTATTCAATGACAACTTTAATATAAATTCGATCATTAAATAGGATCAAATAAATGTTTTTAAAATTATTTTCACAACAAGGCGATGTTCATAGTGTCATAAAATTGTCATATAATACGTTTTTAGTACTAATACAATTAATTAGCACGTGTACGGCTGAGCCTATTTTTAAAGTGGTTGAAAAATTCAGTATCTACCTATTATAATTATGTTTTTATTTATTAATTTCTATGACTGTACTACTGGTAAAGATACTTTTACCTTTGTTGCGCGCGCAAAAATCTTGAACTGGCCTACACTTTAGGGTGCTAAGATTATTTTCAGTCTCAACTGATAATAATTAAGGATGAAAATGTATTATTCGTTTAAAAATATTTATATTTTTTATTAATTTTATATTTAAAAGTTCTTACAAAACTTTAAGTATTAGTTACCCCTACCTAAGTTATTCAAACAAAAACTAAACACGTGTTTAATGTAAGTCTCATTCAATAAAAACGACAATTATGATTGATTTGTTCACAAGCTGCTATTAAGGTTCAATTACTTGTAAATATTTACAATAGGTAAAGTACGTGAGTATTTTAATCAATATCTACATAGTAAATATCTGTATTCAGGTATAATGCCGACTTTAATGAGTATTTTGTGTATCTCTATTTTTATATTATATCCGCGACTAACGAGTACGAATACCTACTTTCTTAATATTTTGGTATACTTAATGCATTTTGTATTGAAAATTCTTCATAATTTATTAATGACCAAGTAAAGGCCTAACCGAATTTGTATTTGAATTTAGAATACAAAATGGAATTTAAAAAAAAAAACGTTCTCTTTGGTACCTACACGATATATTTATCAACACGGTAACGTAAAAGTTTAGTTTTATATGATTTTAATATTTATAGAGAATAGTACCTATTATCTTTTTAGGTTTCTTTGATGGTCACATAAAATTCAACGTCAATTTGTATAGTCTCTATTAAGTTTTATTAATATATTATGTAATTATGCCAAACCGCTGTTAGTGTTAATTTGAAAACCTAACGTTTTTAATTAAGATAAGAACTAAATTAAGGATCTTTTTTTCTCTAGGTTAGGATAGCTCATAAACGTGATAAAATTAAGTTATTCGAAATCATTAATGACTTTGGTTTAATTAAAAAGTAATTCTTACAGCTTTCAATATTATACAGTAAAACAGGCTAGATATAAATATAAAAGAAAATAATGTTTTTAATAAACTTATTAGGTACCTAGTACCGTTGACACAAATATGAATTTAACAGTTAGGTTGTCTATAGGCAGTAAAAAATTTTTCAAATTAGTTCCATTTTCGAATTCAAATTCAGCGAAAAAAAAATGCATAGGTTTTTTGGAGTTGGCAATCACGAATTCATCAAACAAGTGAATAGCATGCAAATGAGTGAAGCCTATACAGATTCAAATAAAAAATCGAATATAACGGGACCATTTTCTAAACCAAACATTTATAAATCGATAGCTATTAGAAAAATGCAAAAATCTCGATTCCGAAACCTAGTATCTATTACTATAATGGACAACATTTGTTTTAGTCGATTCTAAATTACAAGTCCACTTCACAGACGTTAAAGAATTAACCTGTTGTTTCATAGTACAACGAGGCATTTCAAAGATCGTGACGCCACAAATCATCGATACTATCCGAGACGAATCGACGTGAAAACGCGGAATCGTCGCTTCTAATCGCTCATTCGGAAATGCTCACAGGGGAACAAAAATGTACAGCGCGCCAAGCATTCCGAGCGCGCCACGTTTTTTGGCGGGAACGCATCGCGGGCCGGCGCGAATGCCCGCGCACGCGCGTACCGCCTTTTTATTTCTTGCCAGTACAACAAGAAAAAAATGAACGCGTAAACAGGTTGTATTATTATTTTTTCCTTGAATGACAACATGACTGGAATTCGCCCCACGGTTGTTTCGTAACGAGCGCTTCCCACAGTAAAACTAACTTAATTTTGTTTCTAAGTATAAATTGTTATGACATTTGATTTCTTAGATTCGGATTATTATACGGAGCGATTACACATAGATTCATAGCGATATGTTCAAAATCGATATTTACCAACAAAATATCACGATACCAATCATCGAAATAACACGCATTCACGAATTATGGCTCGCATCAACAATTCAATTAAAGTGTTACATTGCCGGAATAATTCCGTTTGAATTAGAGTAATTGCGCGCGTGATTAGCCGGTTTCAGAAGGAAATGTAGGCCGCGAGCTCTCCCACGCCGCGCCGCGTCGACACCTAGCCTAATAGCGCGTCATTACACTATCTGCCGATACATCTCCGGTACCTCTCGACATCGACGGAACATCACTATCAGCTCATATAATCGATGACCACTCGGCGCGACTCCAACAAAGCGATTGTTCGATCGCGCTCAACACTAATTACGATTCGGATTTCGAACGCGCGAAAACGTCGCGCTCGTCATTTTAAACTAAATATTTTCTTAATTTGTTTCAAGTTTATGGAATCGATTCTGATCATTGACAGATGGGAATTTATGAATGGAAATTAATGTAAATTTGCGTTAATATGAGTGGGCATCCCGTAAGGTTAATACGTCTAGGTCCATTAGTTGTGATTTGCATATGGCTACGTCTCATTTCGGATTTCTCTTGTATAAATAACGTTGATTAAATCGTTCGGCACCCACAACGCATACTTTACGGGATTAAATGAAAATTAGCAATGTGTTTATTATAAATTAAATAGCTACCTGATAACGGTGAGTTAATAACGAGACAGTTTAGCAAATAAAAAATTGATAATACTTTTTTTTTAATGGAAAGGAAGGAGGTTGTTGTTATTATAATTGTTTATGGTCAAAGGTGAGTCATAAGTAAAAAAAAGTTAAAATGGCAAAGGTAACGTTTAGAAACATCCTTGTTTACAAAACTATTGAATTTAATTTTGGATGATAGCATTGTTATTGTTTTGCAGCATCTTTTTAAGGGAAAGATGTAGAAGCATTTAAGATTGCGACATAAGATTTAAAATCTTGACACGTCCAACCTATTTACGTGGCGGCTACACTAAATGTACTGTTTACATTATTTTTATTCGAGTTTCGTACCAAGATAAAAACAAAGTTATTATTTTCGTTTCGTTTTAGATATTTTCGACTCTATGACCTTTAGCTTAGGGTGGTTGAAGACAAGGCCCTGGATTGATTGACGTGATCTTGACACAGATTGGGCAGAGGAAACAATGTGTCATGTCATTTTGGAGATGCAGTGTTGTCATGTACTGTCGCTAAATAACTTACAAATACAGCCAAAACTTTTAATTTTATAGCTTTTCCATCTATTGGCCCAAACTGCTAAATCATCTATATACAGGATGGTATGATGTTCAATGCTAAAAATGACTTAAAATCCGAATTGAACCATTAAGATCTACGTCTTATTATTATTTTAGGACAATCCCACCACCACCTCCCAAAACCTATAACTCTTGTCAGTCAAGATCTACAGAAGATACAACTATGAAAACAGCGGAACATTGAAGTCTCAGCGTCCCAGCGACATGAATTACGGACATCTAAGTATATTTTAGGCAAAATTCATGAGATACTTATACTCTGCGTCTAAAAGCAATATAAAAATATTTAGGATTTAATTATTTTAATCTAAAACTATTACCGTTAGCGTAACATAACATATGTATGTAGATACTCATTTTTTTGCGATATCACGTCACATCACTACGAGTGAGTGACATATTGACACCTCTATAGCGAAAACTTAGGTACTTATTACAAAAGTAAAAAAAAAAACTTTATAAGTATGTGTATAGATGACATTTTGATAGCTATAGTCTATGGATAGTATGAAGTTGCAAAATTTAATTTAGGTAACTAATGTTGTATAATCTTTACTTTTTTTTTTGTTGATAGGTACGTAACTTTGACGACTCGATTGATGTTTTTGTATTCCGTTTGCCAAACTTGAGGCATTACGAGTATCTATGTACGAGGAGATCATTTAACAACACCTTTAGCAATTATAGAAAAGCCCTATTTTAAATTAACTGCTTAGATTTCTGAGAAAAGCCGCAATTTTTATAAAATATTCTAACAGATATTTCGTGCATCTAGACTTCCGAAAAGCTACAATAAATTGACAGTAAGGTTTTAAAATCAGTCCAAAGAAGTTAAATTAATTTTATTCACATCTAGGTCTTCCTTTTCAGACATTTAAGTAGTTTATAAGTAAACTAATTAGTCTGTAAGTTTACATTTACACAACAAATACTGACTCGACTATCTACTGACCTAAAATAGCTAAACAGTTTTTTTTTAAGAACGTCAACGTGCTGGCTGTTTAGAGTCAAAGGTTATCATTGTATCCTTATAGCTATTTGAAAAAAGAACAGCGATATAAAAAAGAGGTTGAATTATTATTGGACTGGCGCCAAAATACCGTAGGTATATTTTAATTAAGAATGTTATGTGATATTTGTATTTATTAATTAATAAAATTGATGGCTTTAAGTTTGAAAGATAGTACTTAATTTAGTTTATCTGTAGTTTTAAGTCGACGTTTTTAATGCTTACTTTACTTAAGTAAATAAAAA